ATCTATCCACAGACCTCAAAAATACCATCAAACTCAGTACCTTAGTACTGCTAAATATCCTTCCCGAAAGACGGGACCTTATCACTTCTATCACAAGCTCCGTGGTAGAAAGAATATTCGGCCATACAATTACATTGTCTGGCCACAGCAACAAGGTCGATCTGACCTTCCACCCTTCCTACTAAAAACCTTTCCATGGATTTCACACTAGGAGCAGTTAATTGCCAAGGGATCTCTAGAAAGAGACCCCTAATCAAACATATCCTGCAAAAGCACAACATCCAAATCCTTGCCATCACTGACACTCTCTGTCAAAATACTCCTACTTTTGCAGGATATACAACAATCTATCGAAGCCGCTGTCAGGTTTCCCGTGGGAATGGTATCCTTATCAAACATGGATTACCACACTCCCCCCACGTATTCCCTCAAAATATACCTCCACCCAACGTGGACTTCCTGGCAATTGACCTCCACCTGCCCAATACCAAACCCTCACGATAATCTCTTACAACAGGCATCCAGCGAACCCGCTTTCTATCGAACTTCTAGAGTATTTCTCAACTCTAAATAAAGCAATCCTTATGGGCGACCTGAACTGTAGACACACTCAATTCGGTGATCATTCCACAAATCCGGAAGGCATCGTACTCTCCGATACACTTCTAGACCTTCCTATTATCAGAATCACCAACACCGACTATACGTTTTTGTCCGCTAGTGGGGCATCTATTGTCGACCACATCATCGTTACTGGTAGCGTGATGCATAGGTTCGAGGATCGATGTCACATAGGCGACACAATAACGTCCGACCATCTTCCGATATTAGTTAACACTGATATCATGTCACCACAAAATCCTCCACCCCCCAGACAAATAAGAGATTATCGTAATGCAAACTGGCAAAACTTCAAACAATATATTTCAAATAACATTCCTGAGTTAGGCGAAATCAATACAAATGAAAGTATTGACCAGAGTGTAATCCAAATTACAGAGACCCCTTAGTCAAAACAGAGTATAATCGCATCTCTGCCCGAATTAAGAGGGAAATATCTATCCTACAGGCTCGCCAGTGGGAAGATACAACCTCGAAATTGGATTACAGAGATGGGAGTAAATTCTGGAACAAATTTAAAGTCCTAACAAAGCAAAAAACTTCTCAACCATCTCATCTGTTGATCGATAACCAAATTATCAGTTCACCTGAACTGAAAGCCGAAGCATTCAGAAACTCACTCTTCGAAAACTTTCAAACACCAAATAATCCAAACTTCGATCGCTTATTCAAAACCGAAACCGATTATGTGGTAAGAAATACTCTCTTGCATCACACTCCGAACCACGTCCCTATCATGGACCCTATTACTGACAGAGAAACGGAGAGTTATTGCCGTATCGGCAAAAATAATTCTCCGGGACCTGACAATATCAGTAGAAGGTGTCTAAAGCAACTTCCTGAGAGTATTATACCCCTTATCATCAAAACTATTAATGCATGTCTCAAAAATTACTATTTTCCTACTCCTTGGAAAATAGCCAACACAATAATGCTACCTAAAAAGGGCAAACCTCGTACGAACGTGGAATCATACAGACCTATCTCCCTAATCAACTCTCTAGGGAAAGTCCTAGAGCTAATCCTTAAGGAAAGGCTCAGCGACTTTCTGGACACAAACAATATCATCCCCAAATTCCAGTATGGATTCCAATCAAAACGTTCCACTCATAATGCATTAATAGACTTCACCACTAAAGTTTCTCAATCATTAAACGGCAACAGCATCGCCATCGACACTTTTCTCGATGTTCAGAAGGCCTTCGATCAAGTCTGGCACGACGGACTTATTCGGAGACTACTGGACATCGGCCTCCCCCTTCAATTCATAAAAATAATTCATTCATACCTTACCAACAGAACGGTTAAGATAAGAGTAAGCGATCAATTGTCCACCCCATTCACTCCTCAAGCAGGAGTACCTCAAGGCTCAGTACTTGCACCCTTGTTGTATATTACATACAACAGCTCAATTCCCACCCCAAACATTCCTCACACCCATCTGTTTCTCTACGCGGACGATACTGTTCTCCTGACAACAGGGAGTGGCTACTTTCCGCTGACTGCCTTTAGAAGAGCACAAACTCTACTAAACGGTGTCGAAAACTGGTGCAATAAGTGGAGAGTTACTCTAAATACCGCGAAAACACAAACCATTGTGTTTCGCGCCCCATATACATCTGGACGTCTTGCAGCCAACAACGTTGAACAAACGCCCCTGTATCTAATGGGAGACAGGCTCGTGACCAGCCCGACAGCTACCTACCTAGGCGTACTATTTACTAGGACGCTTAATTGGGAAGATGATCTAAAGGCAACTTTAGATAGGGTCAGAAACAGAGCCCGGCTCCTAGTACCACTTGCAGGGACGTTTGGCAAGACAAGTAACACCACTCTCACACATACTTATAAAACCTTTATTCGACCCGTTATAGAGTATAAGGCTCACTTATACTGCCTTCTAAAAGAACGTCAGAAAAAGAAGCTGCTCTCGACGGAGCGCAGAATCTTACGTAAAACCTGTAGAAAAAGGTGGGACTTCCCCTCTCGTGAAATCCATAGAATGGCCAACACCACCCCTATTCTCGAGAGAATAAAATCTCTCAACAGGAACTTTACCCTTAGAACTATTAACGGTCCTCCATCCAACACCCAAAATACACTAAAAAGTTCCTGTTCCTTCAGAGGACACACAGTCACCCGGATTCCCAAACGAAAATTCCCTCATCCTCCCTCAATCTTAATGCAAACATGCATCAACGATCTTCCGGCAGACTACTTCGAAATTCTAGAGGCCACCCCATATGCCTATCGCATAGCCTGATCAATCATCCACCCCCAATCATCCTCATCACTCACCTATCCCATTCCCACCCCGGACAGGGGGAGATTGGTTTTTTGCGGTTTCCCAATCTCACTACTAAACGATACCTGTCCGTCCCTGAGAAAATAGCCGCAACAGGGGAACATTAGGGAAATTGAGGACATTAGGGAAACGGTTCAGGCTACTGTCGGATCAGTACACTGACATTCACTCACAAATACATTCACTCACACATACTCACAACTCCACATTCCAACAGTGAAAGGGGTCCTCTTTCATGCTACCGATGCACCCTCACCCTCGGGACCCCCGACCGCCTGCAGCCCCCGTTACTTTACACGGGATCTGTGGGCGGCCGGGGAAAATCTACGGTTCGAGGAGTCTGTAACACCGAAATGGTAGCGTCCGTCACTGTTGGAATTCACACACATTCACACTGAGCGAAGTGCGACAAGCCGACTCTCGAAAGCCGAGGCGCCTACACTCACGAGCACACCCGTCCACGAAATTTCAGTGCAATACACTGGTTACGAGGACGGGTTAAGCTCGAGACTGCACAGGACCAATGTTCACTAGAGACCCGGCCTTGTCGTACCTAGCCCAAAAACACACACACAACAAACTGAAAAGACACTACTCATACAACAAACCCCTCTCTCTCTGATTCTCTGGCTCTCCGAAGTCAACTCCTCCAGGTGAAAAAGGTGCTAAACACCAGAAGAAAACGGAGAAGATCTTTGCGCCGGTGGTTTCCGGGCGTTTGCCTTTGTACGACAACAACAAAACATTCAACTCTAGTCTGAAGAGGGTCAACCGACCCTAAACGGACACAAATCATTCTCTCCTTTCGAAATAAAGATATCCCTTACCCATCCCAAAAAGAATGAACGTTGTCTACTAGTACAACGAGGTCAGTTTCTGCCAACCCCTAGTGTTGGCGAAACGTCGAGAACTAATCTCAGAAGACAACGGCCTAACAGCCCGAATAAACAGTTTAACAAGTTAGACGATGGCCGTGAAAGCCTAACGCAGTTTATCAAATCTGTTTTACATGTATTTCTCCCATAAGAAGCTGGAAATGTTATTTTTTTAAATAATAAATAAGGACTTTTGGTTCTGAACATTCATTTTGTGCGATTGGTTTTTATTTATTCTTCGTTAATTTGTGAGGTAAGAATATCAAAGTATTAAGATATTTACTGTGAAAGTTCATATTTTAAGGTTATATTATGTTTGGTTAAAACTTACATAAACTTACAAATAACATAGATAAAAAGAAATAAACAAAAAAACAATTTAAAATCAATTAAAGTAAATTACACAGCTCAATTATACTCACTATCGCAATTTGATAGAAAGGTTTCCACAGAATGTTATACCTATTACAACTAAAAGTCCGTATTCACTACTTAAACTAGGAAAATAATGAATATCTTTGGTCTTTTACAGGATAAAATCACTGACACCTAAAAAGAATAAAGTATTGATTTAAATATTTTTTCAACTTCATAAATAAATTCAATGATTTATTGATTTACATTAAAATAACTCTGATAAAAACAACAAAATACCTTGAAATAAAGAAAAAAATAATATCTTAATACTTGGATATTCTTTCTTCACAAACAACAAATAATATTAATCGCACAGAATGAATGTTCAGGACCAAAAGTCCTTATTTATTCTTTTAATATTAAAGAAACCAACAGTTCCAACTTCTAATGGGAGAAATAATACATGTAAAACAGATTTGTTTGGAAAGATTTTTAAAAACCCCCACTCATTATGACGTCAAAACTTAGGTAGCCCATACTCATATTGGTTGCCCTTACCTGTTTAATGAAACCAGATTTGATGTTCAATATTTAGGTTTGCGCCATATAACTACTTTTTATATCCTCCTTCATCAAACATCATATGGTAGTAATATGTTACACGAATATGTGAGATTGTAATATAACTCAGATTTACACCTATTTAATACCGGTTTGAGTCAACTTAAAAGGTCTCATACTTTCCTAAGTTGATTATTTCTGTTAAACATTTATAAATAAATGTTCAATGTATGATTTGTTTACATCAGATATTAACATTACATTAAAACAATTAAATTCTTGTAATGTGTGTATTAAAAGAACAAGAACTATTAAAAATGCCAAATATAACACAAATAGTGATCCACCAACATGTATAAAAATCGTATAAAACATAAACGGTATAAACACAAACACTTCTTGAAACACTCTCTAAGTTCACAATTAAAATTTTTGATTAAATCTTCAAACGGTAAGCGAAAACTCCTGCTGCTCCAACTGCCAAAGCTGCTCCCAATGTAGCCCATACAATAAACTGCAAAAATATATTTAAATTGTCATTTTTGTTTGAATATAATATGATTTACTTTAATAAAACTATGTTTAGTCGAAAATTTTAACAGGTGCAGCTCCAGTTCAATGTGTTGCCAGTATATAAAAATTTATGTATATAAAAACTCAATTATATTAGTTGATTTACATAATAAATCACTAATTTCTGAGTCAGAGCTGTTAGAATTGGGAATCATTACATTGCTCAGGTTTTCTCGCCATCAGTTATATCCTATTCACCTTTATAACGATATGCAGAGGTTTAGTAAAGCCTCCATAACTGCTGTTGGTGTGCCTCCCTGGACCTTTTTAATTCCAAGTCTTTAAACCCTGCTTGGTTTGATGATGGCACTTTTTTGCTGTATCTTTGGCCATCATGCCACTGATGCATGTGTAATTGGAGGTTATATATCCAATATAACATGTCTGGTCGTAAACTCCACATTTTTTAGTATGTTTGGCTATTATTAATGTAGTCACTGTCCTCGTGATTATTTGTTCTATCTGCTGACTCCAAGTAAGAGTTAAGTCTAATATAAACCCTAGATACTTTACTTTACTCACCAGTTTTAAATTTGTATCTTTTAGGTTAAGAAGATCCAACCCCTCTAAACTCTCCTGTCAAATTTCATGATTTTTGGACCTCTAGACACTTATGTTAAGCACTGCATTAAAAGTTCACAAGAGGGAAGATCCTCCCAGTGGACAGCCTCTTTCTACATTTACCCGACTTAAGAATCACAATAAAATTTACTTGTTTTAAGCATCCAGTTAAACCATCATTGCTTCATCCTTAGGCCACAGGGTGGTAAAAACTCTGAATGTATGTTATTAAAACCAGGAGATTTTTCATTTTTGCTTTTAGAAGCACTGCTTTCAATTCTTCTTCATATATATGTTGTTTCCATTTTATTCTATTTTCTCATTGATCCAGTAATAGATTGCATTTTTATAGTGATGTCCATATTTCTGTACATATTTCCGATAACGATTTTAAAGTTCATGAATTAAGACCAAGCATGAAATTATATAATATTACCCTTTGCTGAGGTGCTCACAAAATCCAAAAAACTCCACTTTATTGGCTGCATAACATAAAGTGTGACTGGAGCTGAAAGTGTTATACTATAAACAAAGTTGGGAGTTATAAAATTCATCACTTAACAGACAAAAATATATGAAAACATATTCATAAGCTAGAAATACATGAATGCAGATGTTTCTGAAAATCAAAAAAAAACTTAATGTGTAAACTGTGACAAATTTTATACAATTATCATATTGTAAACAATTATTGTAACAATTGTAAAGATTGAATAAAACATTTAATTTTAAGATAAATTACTATAGATTTATTGAAATAGTCTGTAAAAATAACAAAAGTCAAATACTAACCTTCCCACCAGATGATTTTTTAGAAGATTTATTATTAGACTCTGGCTTTGCAGTTCCATTAAACATGCGCTTTGCTAATTCTTTCTCGGAATTTTTCTGTTTCTGTATAAGTTTTGTCATTGCATTGATTTCCTTTTGAATGTCTGGATCATTAGGTGCATACTCTTTGGCTTTCTGTAGACATTTCATAGCTGTTGGTAAATCATTTTGTCCTTTATAGGCCTGAAAATAGTATATACATTTTACCTATATCTTAATTATAACACAATTAACACAAGTTGAGGTTGGTTGGTAAGAAGTTCAATAACAATTGTATGGCTGGTTGTAAATCTAGACTGTAAATCCATTTTGCTCTGATGATACATTATCAGTTCAATTCATTATAGCCTAGTTTATCCAGTAGTTTTAGAATAATTCATTAATTAGATAAGCAGCAATGATTTTATAACTATTTTTATCACCTTATTTAAAAGTAAGTGTAATTTAGCTATGTTTTTATACATTGGGAAACAGTGTGGTAAAAAAAATATATTAAAAAGGATGTGAAATGGATTTGAAATTGTAAATGAATAAGCAATTCAAAAAATAATTACATATATCAGGAAAATTCTGCCATTGCTATTGTTCTAAACCACTGTCACAAGTTCTGTTAAGAAAGGATGTACAGTGATTGGGTCTTGGTGATAGGAGAGGAGATATACCATTGTCATTAGATACCAAGAAATACCCTAGTCAACATTGAAGACACTAACAAATCCTACCCAGTATGGAATAGGTGAGAGCGAGTTTCCAGCACCTTATATAATATGAGCTTCTTTGAAAATTTTTACACTTCCCTAAACAAACAGTTTTATAAAAATACTTACCATGGCTTTCCTATAATGAGCTTTAACATTATTAGGTTGGCATCTAAGTACAACTTGTAAGGAATTAAGGGCAGCACTGAACATTTCCATTTTTATTTGTGCAGCTGCCATATTATTACAAACACTCACTCTGTCTTCCAAAATACTCTGCAAGTCTGAATCTGATATTTCACCTTTAGATTGATCTCCACCTTCTACTTCATCTAAATAATCTAGTGCTCTTCTGTAACATTGAATGGCTATATTGTTTTCTCCTCTAGTATACCACCAATTCCCTCTTTCTCTCTTTTTATTGCTGAAATTTTAGTATATTGCAATATAGTTTATTTAAACTAGCAAAAGGAACATGTCATAATTATTTACCCTTTAACTCTTCTCAGAGTAATAGGCATCATATCAACATCATCTTCTGGTTCAACATTTACTAGCTCTACATCATAGATAACTAAGCTATCTCCTGGAATTTTTGAAGGCAATCCTTTTTTGCCAAAGGCCAGCCTGGGTTCAATTTTTAACCTACATGTTTCTCCAATATTCATAAGTCCTAAGGAAACATCAAGTCCTTGTATTACCTAAAATTACATAAGCAACTTACAAATAGAATCATTGGATCTACAAGTGAAACAAATAGTTAACTGTCAATCAAATTTGGCAATTTTAAATCAAATGTGAATAAATATTAATAAAAAATAAAAATTACATCAGATTCTCCTAAATTTAGTTCGAAATTATCAGCACTGTCCACTAAAGTCTCATCTTCAAGGTAGCAACTGTAATTTATAATGCACTTTTCGCTTCTTTGTGGTCTAGTGTCTGGTTTACCTTCAGCAATGATCTTTTTCATAATAGCCCCACTGCCAAGAAGATCAACCCATTCTGGTTTAGGTTCTTCAGGTTCCTTGCTCTTTTCTTTTTCCTCTTCGGGTATATTTTCAATTTCATCGTTTTTACTGATATTGTCTTCACTTGAGCTAATTGGTTCTAGGTCGGGTATGTCAGATTCTTCTAGAATGTCTTTGCTGGAATCAAGGGAAATTACACTGTGGGAGGATTTTTCGTGTTGAATGAATGCTTCAGACATTTTAACCGTTCGTATTTTCTGTTTCTTGATTGAATCGCTAGAAAAAATAGTATATAAGGCCTGTTTTTTATAAAGACCAGAAACAAGTGAAAATAACCTAATCTTATCTTTAATAATTTTGACGTAAATAAAAATTAAATTGATCAAAAGTAAAAGTATAACAGAATACTCACAAAAATTATTATTTTTTCATCATAAAAATATTTTTTAATATTAAGAACTGAAATTTTTATTTCGTTTTTTGGTGTCTGACAACTTATTTTTTATTGGGTTTAAGGTTATGAACTTTAGACAGATAGACAGATTAGAGTTGGGCGTTAATTTTGTTCATGGTCATGCGATTTTTTAACTGAACTTTAACTATGGTATTTTGAAACGTAGCCCTGTTCTATATTTTATGTATGAAGACTTGACGCAGACAAACGAGACTTTTGTCCTAATGTACTTAACATTTTCTAGACGTTTTTACAATATTGAACTTTAAATTGCATAAGTCCAAATAATTCTTCACGAATCAAGCAGAAACAAGTTGTCTTATCCTCAATAGTCTGATTATAAAAAAATTAGTATTGATTTACTGATTATTCCGCATTTCATCAGTTTAATATATATTCGTAAAATATCTTGTTTCATGATTATATCAAATAAAAGCTGCTGATTTTCAACAATCTAAATTTTCATATTATGTCTGCAATAAACCATCTATACCTATAGGTAGGTACATAACTAGACTTTATACATGTATATTATATAACTAGGCTTCTAATTGTTAGGTCGATCACTATGACAGCAGAAGAATTTTTTAAAAGGATAAAAAAGACCACATGGGCAAAAATGTAAACTTTCTTTTTATAGCCTTAAGTAATTCAACTTTGGACATAGGCCTCCCCCAAATCAATCCAGTGTCTTCTATTTTGCGCCACTTGTTTCCAGTTTTGTTCTCCGATCTTCTTAATATCATCCGCCCATCTCATCTGTGGTCTTCCTCTGCTTCTCTTTCCTAACCATAGTCTCCATTGTTGTATTTCGTGGTTCCATCTCTTATCCTTCAGTCGGGCATTGTGTCCTGCGAAGCTCGATTTTAATTTGGCAGCATGTTCTCCTGCGTCTTTTACTTTGGTTTTGCTTTTAATCCATTTGTTTGTTTTTTTTTTCTCTATAAGTCTCACCCCGAGCATTGATCTTTCCATCGCTCTTTGTGCTTTTATTATTTTATCCATATTAGATTTGGTGATTGTCCACGCCTGTGAACCATGTGAGTATAAGGAAGATACACTGATTGAAAATTCTGGTGTTTAAATATTGTTCTATTTTAGTGCTTTTCAAGATCCAACTCAGTTTTCCTCAGTTTGATTTTCTTTGTTAACTTTCATTATCTGTCCGAAGTAGATGTATTCGCTTACTGTTTCTAAATTTATGTCGTTCAACGTTATTTCTCTAATGCTCGGTGTATTTGTCATTATTTTTGTTTTTCCAAGTTCATCTTAAGACCTACTTTTTCCGAAGCTTGAAATAGTTGCGTCATCATGGTCTGTAGTCTTCGAAACTGTAGCGAATATTACAATATCATCAGCATATCTTAAATGACTCAGTTTTCTTCCATTATTAACATTTACTCCTTTACCTGCCCAGTTAATGTCTTTGAACACGTTTTCCAGTCCAGATCTCCCTGGCGAACTCCTCTATTGATTGGTATAGCTTTGGTTTTCGCATCTATTTGTATTTTCATTGTAGCTTTCTTGTCAATATTATGTATGAGCATTCTGTATCGGGAGTCTATCCTGCAGTTGTTCATAGCTCTCTCTATTACCCAAAGTTCTATGGAGTCGAATGCCTTTTCATAATCAACGAAGTCAATGTATAAGTTCAAGTAATATTCATTGGCTTTCTCTATTAGAGTTCTGACTATAAGAAGATGATCCGCTGTACTGTAACCCTTTCGGAATCCTGCCTGCTCTACCGGTTGATAGCTATCGAGCTTCGACGTTAACCAGTTGGTTACTACTTTTTGTATAAAAATATAAACACTATTTAAAAATACCTATATGTAACAGAATTCATTTTGCATTATTATTTACTTACGGTCAAAAGTTCATTTTTGATTGATCCTCTATATGTCTTTATCCCTATGCAGTGTCGACATTCCTAACTACAGTTCTCCCTTCTTGGGTGGTCATACTCATAGCAATTCCTTTCACAAACATGTTGCGCAACAGGTCTTCTTTTTTGTAGCTCATGTTTTCCATATCGATAATAATAATTTGTTGTTTTTTAATGAGAAAACTACTTTTGTTACATATTTATATTATAATTATATTTTTTTACAGTTTTGGAGGAAAGTAGGTACAAAGAATCCAGACAACTTGATGATTACTCTTCTGCTTAGAGTGCCTCCCTACGGAGGTTGGCAATCATAATGGCTATTTTTATTTTTGAAATCACGTTACTATATGTGGTGAATATTTTGTCGTCAGTATGTGGTGAATATTTTGTGGTCTTTTTGTAATTAGCATTCCTATATTTTGTTTTTTAGCGTTTACAGTAATTCCCATCTCAGCACTATTCGTACTTAAGCTTTTGATTAGTTAACGGTAACTCCCGCTTTGATATTATTGAACGTGTTTTTGAAAATTTCTTGAGGATAAACAAAATGGGTGATAAAACGCATCTCTGTATAGCTCCTCTACAGATCTTTATTTCTTCTGACTGTTGCCCATCAATTTGAACTATGGCACTTTGGTTCCAATATAATGTTTGGATTATCTGTATGATTCTATTGTCAATGTGTTTATTCATAAGTATTGATATTAATTTTTCATGTCGTACTCTATTGAAAGCTTTTTCGTAGTCAATAAAGCACAAGTGTAGGTCAACATTTACATCTTGATGTCGCTAAATCAGTATGTTGATGGCAAATAGTCCTTCTCTAGTACCCATTCCATTTCGGAACCTGAACTGCGTCTCACTAATTTCCTTTAACTTTTCATAGATTCGCTTGTGCATTGTTTTTTAGGGATAGTTATAAACGCTTAATTTAGCCACTCTTGCGGTATTATTCCAGTATCGTAATCTGAAAATACTTCCAAGTTATTCTCTTCCACTAGTTTTAACAGTTCTACAGGTATTTCGTCTAATCCAGCTGCCTTATTGTGTTTAGAGCTTTTGATAGCATATTTTATTTGAGTCGTGTATTATCAAAGGCGACATTCTCTTCACAATGACATTTTCCGCAGTGAGGTATAAATCATTATTAAAAATTTCTTGACAGGTCATAACATTGGATTTGCTTTAACGATTTTCGTTTGTTGTAACGTGTTTTAATTACAATTAAATCGAAAATTCGTGAGAATAAAATGGAAATTTCCGAGTTTGATAGTAGATATAGAACTTTGTAGATATAAAACTACGCCTAAAAAATTGGGCATGTTTACACAAAAAATTTATAAGCTAAGATGGCTAATTTGGTTTTTTTATAATTAAAATATCACCACAAACGTTTTTATTGTCCGATTGTTCTTTCACTTTTCTACTTGTTACCTACTTACTATTTTTATTCTACTTATTGAAGATAATATGCAATTTTAATAGACTATAATAATCCATACTACACTAGAAATAGTTTCGTATGTGTTAAAAGATTGAATAAATATAAGAACAGGATGCACCATTGTGATATTATTAACACTTGTTGTTGATCTCTTTATATAATCTAAACCAAAGTTCTTAATGTAATAAATATGATACTGTAGCCCCTATTTTATTATCCTAATAAAATATATTTATTATTATATATATATACTCGTTATACGAGACGGGGCTCGTATAACTAAAACACATTTTTGTATAGTAGACAAAGTTGTGTTCCGAAATCATTTAACGAACTGAGTTCATAAACGGACTATGAATACATAGACTAGTTATAGTCAAGGTATGAATACATGAACAACTATTTCACACAAGTTTTTTACACATACCTTTAATCAGAACTAGAGTCGGTGTCCAAATTAGGCTGAATAACAATTGGAACGGTGGTACGATCCACTATGGGGTATTCATTTTCTATGTCGATAACATAGAAAATACAGTTCTTCCAAATCTCACTATCGAACTCGTTGACTGCTTGGCGTATGTTGTCTAGTTGCACTGCGTTCAATGTCGGTGACTCATTGCGTTTCCTTAAGCGCGTCTTTAATATTCTCCAAATCATTTCTATGGGATTAAAAATGCAGTAATAACGTGGCAAGCATAAAATACTATGTCCTTGTATCTTACATAGTTCGTCAAGTACGTATTCTTTGTTAAAACTGTGGGACTTTACAATATTTAATAAATCTTTGTTTAAAGGGACTCTATTAGGAAGGCGTATTTTCTTATTTCTCAAAAGAGTTACAATATCATCTTTCTAGTACTACTGTTGGGTATTTTTTTAAGAGTCCTGAATGATAAAAACATTGTCCATGACAATTACAGAATTGGGCGGAATATTAGGAAGAAGTTGTTCCTTAAACCATTATTCACATAAATGAGCGGTCATGTCTTCATGATAATCGGCAGATGATTCATTGATGTTTTTGGCAGACAGCAGCAATGCAGTTTGTACAAATCCTTGTTCACTACCTGTATGCAAGATTATTATGCGCTTTGCCCTTGAACATGATGTATTTAAACTGCAGCTCTGAGAGTTATCTACCCAACCATACTTAACGATGTCGTGTGTGTCAAACCACGTCTCGTCTATAGAAAATGTCACACTGAGAGTGCAGTACGGGTAAGATACGACAATGCTTTTCTTATGGAGAATAAACGCGCAGGGTTGTCGGTTTTCTCCAGCTGTTGATTGCTCATACTCATTGTCTCACAGGACCGGCTTGGATAAAATGCATCTGCCGGCAGTACGAGTAAAATATTTTATATTATGTATACGTATACAGTAGAATAAAAAGGCATTGATGAGTTATTGATTACGAAAACTATGAATTTTGCATATAAAACGTCAACATGAGATATACAATTGAATCATATTCCTAAGAGTAACATTTGAACACCTCTTTACAAGAACAACATACAATAACTGTAGTTTTATTGTTTTACATAAAATAGAAAAAACCTACATAATTTCTAGGAAAGAATTTGGAAACTTGGAAATGATATTATTTCCAATTTTTTTCAAATTTCCAATTCTTTCATAGAAATTAGATTTATTCTATTGTATGTAAAATATTAAAAATACAGTTATGTTGTTTCTATAAATAGGACTTCACTTCTTTTGTAAAACTTCTGCTACAAATTACCATCATTAACATAATCACCTAAATATGGCCATAAACTTGTTTGTCATAATTAGTATTTGATAAACTCCAAGCTTTCCCTATTTCACCCCCTACCCATCCTAAGGATGGGTAGGGGTGAAAGTGCTTTTGGAAAACGAAACAACACTTCAAAATTTAGTCCGAGTTTCAACAGAGAGCATGGAGTCCCATAAGTTTAAATCCGGTGAATTATTTAACGGTTGCGCTAAACTCGTAGTGTTAAATGTGTTGTGTTTTTTACTAAATACGGAACAACTGAATGTAACTGCTGCTGTAAGACGTACTTCGTTGATGACTGGTGTTAGCGAAAGAAGCATTTACAGTTTCAAAAAAGAAAAAGAACAGAGTGGAACGTTGAAATTGCCAAAAAAAAACGTAAAAAACGAGTGTGTCAATCAAATTCTAGAATATTCACATATGAGGAGGGTGTAAGAAGTATTCTACGAAGAATTGTTCATTGTGAATTTTTCATGAAAAATTTGCCGCCATTCTTAAAGCATAATAACTTCATACAAGGTAATGAGAATATACAGCCGTTGTCTCTTTCTACTTTATACAGACTTCTGAAAGATATTGGATTTGTTTATAAGAAACGTGGCCGAAGAAGCATCATGGTGGAGCGAGAGAATATTATTCATTGGCGCCATAATTATTTGAGAACTATACGACGTTTGCGAAAAGATCATTGCAATATCATATATTTATATGCAATATTTATTATTTATATATATGCTATATTTATTATTGCAATATCATATATTTGGACGAATCGTGTGTTAATGTTGGCCAATCTATAAATTACGAATGGTGCGATACTACGATACAAAACAGTCGTGATGCTTTTCTCAAAGGTTTAAGTACTGGCTTAAGAGCACCTACTAAACAAGGTCCACGATATATTTTATTGCAGGCAGGTTTTTCAGGAGGTTTCCTTCCTGGCACACAGCGTGTTTTTCTGGCAAAGAAAAATGATGGCGACTATCACGATGAAATGGATGCCGCATATTTTGAGTCGTGGTTTAAGGAGACATTAATATCAAATTTACCAAATAATGGTCGCAGGAATGTCATTGTAATGGACAATGCATCGTACCACTCCCGTAAAGAGAGATTCCCTAACAATTCCTGAAATAAAGCTGCAATCAAGGAATGGCTAGTGGAGAAATACATTTTTTTCGAGGAGTGTTATTTGAAATCCGAGCTATTAGAAGCAGCGCGTGCTTTTAAATATCAATACGATAAGTATCATCTTGATGAGTATGCTTCACAACATAATGTTTATATTTTAAGGCTTCCTCCATATCACTGCGAATTGAATCCTATAGAAATAGTGTGGAACCAAGTTAAGCGATATGTAGGTAACCATAATACCACTTTTAAAAACGACGAGGTACGCCAGTTGATCGACGACGGTTTCGCACGCGTCACAGAGCAAAATTGGCGCAATTATGTCACTCATGTTGTTAAGAAAACGGAAACTGAGATGTGTACTACGGACAACCTGCAAGATGACGTAGACCAATTGATAATACACGCTAACACAGGGGAGAGTAGCGAAAGCGAATCCGACATCTCGGATGTAGAGGACGACTTTAGTATAATTAATTGAATATCTGTGAGTATCCTCGATTATTTTACACTGTATAACCAATAAAATGCATTTACCAGTCCAATCAGAGTATGGGCTTTTCGGATATTGGGCTGGGTGCACGGAAATCGAGTTACCGGAGGTTCCACCCGGTATATTTATAGCTATCAAGAAATGTAATTTAAAATACATTTGTTAGTTTAATAAAGTATACAGTTTTATAATAAAATTCTCGCTAAAAACTTGAAGGTTTTTTATTCAAATGCATGCCTCTTATTTGGCTACTTGAAGGCAATTATTTTATCAATATATTATTTTATATTAAATAACAGAGCCCGGCGTAGAGATCTGGGTACGGTTCTGTTACTACCACTTGGACCTGTTTGTATCGCCAAGCACAAGTCGTGAAATCCGGCAATTGTGCATTCCTATATTAGCCGTACTGCACTCTCGGTGTGACATTTTCTATAGATATATTATTAATCTATTGGACTGTCTATATTCTTTGATTTTATGTAAATACTCCTGCCTTTCTTTAAGTTTAACTATTCGCTGCGACTCCATTATTACCATTCTATTATTTATTTTTTTATATCTAAACCCACAGTATATCAAAATATTTCGTAATATCGCTAAACATCGGTAGTCATAATCAGGGTATTCTCTTGGAGCATCCTGGATCATATGCAGTGTAGGTACCTTGTTTTCCTTGTAGAAATTATACACCGTCTTTCGAATAACATTCTTATCCATATCGTCTATTTTTCTGAATTTTTGATTAGTTCGTTTTAGTTTTAGATAGATAGTGATTTATTACGTTTCCTTTCCTCACAATATGATAAATTGTTGATAGTGATAGTTTGGTAAGTTCACGTATTCTATTTATAATAGTTTTGTCAGAGTTGTTCATTTTCTTTTTTTAAACGCTCATATATGTTCAAAACAATACGTTGACACTGCACATGTAGGTCTTTGTTCTTAAATTCTAAACTATTTTCAACACAATTCGATTCTGGGTTATTTTCCGCATTTTCAAATGGTCGCCAAGAGGCCATATTTACAGTATAATAATTATTTAACATTTATAACAATAACAGGTCGCGTCGTAAAATACTAAACTAACATTTAGCTACACAGCACTGGCATAATTCAATAGCCGGTTCTTATCTACCTGCATCATTGCCGGCGTTAGTAACCGGTAGCGAACGTCCAAGCAGTGTGTAAAATATTGGTGATTTTGGATAACATGTAAATGTCCAATATTTATTTGATGGGATGTAACTTTCATGCTCTGTTCTTTCTATCTCTCTTATACGGAGTACAGGGATTGTTCAAATACGTTCGAAACATTGACGCGTGTTATTTATAACTTGATTTGATTACCGATAAATGTGATATTAAACTCCCCTTATAAATGGCATTCAAATAAAATGTTTCAACTGACTTTATAAATACTACACTTGTCTACACTCTCGTACTCACTGCACTTCGATCAACTTCGCGAGGACTATAGTGGCTGCTTTCTTGTAGGTGTTGTTGGAATTAATTGATTTTTAATGGATTTAGAGACATGACTTTTCTTAGGGGTCTTCTTTTGAGAACATTAAAACGAAGTCGAACGTTCAATACCAGAAGTTGATAATCGCTTCCACAGTCTGCGCCAGAATATGTTTTATAATTGATGGCCGACGACTTCCATCTTGATCTTATTAGGATGTAGTCTATTTGATTTCTTGTTTGGTAGAGTATTGGTGGATATAAGAAATAAATATAAAATAAAAATCGCAGTAAAAAAATTACCTAATTTATTTAAAAAAAGGACATTAGGTACATATAAAGCTAAAATTACTGGAATTATTTACAAGATTTAATCTCTAGCATCGGCCTTCTCTACACTAAAAGGTTCATCTACACTTATGGCACCGCAATCAGCGATAACTACATCTTTACGTGGTTTATCACGACTATCAGTTTCCGTTGCTTCAATCTTCTTAACAACATCCATTCCCTTTAAAATTTTACCGAACACGACGTGACGTCCGTCCAGCCAGGAAGTTTGTTTTGTGGTGATGAAAAATTGTGAGCCGTTAGTGTCTTTTCCAGCATTAGCCATTGACAGCCAACCAGCACCGAAATGTTTCAGTTTGAAGTTTTCATCGGCAAAGCGTTCTCCATAAATGCTGCGACCTGTAAAACAAAATTGGGATTTAGTATTAGATGAGAACAAATTATGGATAAAAAAGAGCATATAAAATGTCATAATAATCGAATACAAACGTTTGAATAAGGAAATAAGAGGGAAATAAAAAAAACTTGCTAGAATAAAAATTGCAAAGGACTGATATACATACTTATGAACAAATTAAAGAATTGAAAAGAAAAGTACTTTTAAAAGTGTGCAAAAAATATAATTCCTAAGTGAGCGCCATCTTTCGACTTACAAAGCCATATTCAGAGCTATGGTCAAATTTTAAAAAGTACCACTACTAAAAGGGATCCCATTGTTCAAAAAGAAAAATAAATTTTTTCATCAAAATCTAAAAACTTTTTTTAAAGTCTTTTTATAAAAAGACACCACAATAACACAATGAAGGTTTGGTTATGATACGAGTGCATAGTGCAAGCACATATCTACCTGGACAGTGTTGAGGTTATATGCAGACTGATTCTATAATCAGTGACAGTAGCAGTTCTCCTGGGTAATTGGCTATGCCAAAGCCATTATGCAATAAAAAAGAAAAGTAGCAGTTCTCAGTATAATAGTCGTTTGGATTTCAATAACTTCATGATAAGAAAAATGGCTTATCTACAGGAACACATAAAGTAACAATTCGAGTGATGATGACTTACTTATTTCATGAACAATTTTCAGTTTTGCGAGAAGCAACCCCAGTGTTCTAAGTTAGCCACTCATCTTGGATCCAAACAGTAAAAGAAAATAAAATGTATACCTACAAAATGATACCACCTCAAGACCTTATAGAAAACGATTTTGATAGAACGCATTTGTGTGAGCAAATACAGTCACACAGCAAAACATTGATGCAGTTCGTCAGCTAATTAAGGGTGACCGCCGTGTAAGGTACCGGGAGATAGAAGCATCTTTGGGCATTTCAAAGACCTCGATCCAAAATATCCTATATGAAGAACTGGGTGTTACGAAGTTAGTTTCTCATTGAATCCCTTATTTGTTCACAGAAGAGCAAAAAGAGGTTAGCGTCAATTGGTGTCGAAAAACATTGGAACGGTTCAACAAACAAAGCTCAAAAAACGCTTATAGTATTGTTAGTGGCAATGAATCTTGGATTTGATGGAAAATAAACGTCAATTCGCTGTGTGGGTGTTTCACGATGAGGAAAAACCAACAAAAGTGAACCGTTCTCGAAGTGTGCCAAAGAAAATTGTCGCTCACTGCCTTTCTCTACAGACCAAATACTCTTGTCAGTGTCAGCTGCGTGACCTCAGAAAGGATAGATTATGAAAGATGTGAGTGGAATATGGAGTGATAGATAGTACATATAGTCTCCAGTGAAACTTATTTTGAAAGGTTTCGCAAAATAAAAAAGACTTTTATTTCGTTTTTTGCACAAATTATTAATACGTGGGCCCCATTGTTATTTTGGACCCAAAAGAACTCCTAGAAACCAAATCTCGCTCACTTTATCATTCATATCACCCACATCTCTAATTGTGAAAATCCTTTTAATTTAATTTTTATTCAGAACCAATCTATTTGCAGCAAATCATTGTCGTCAGTCCTGTGCCGTGTCACCATAGAACCCTCCAGCAAATGTTCCATGTTAGGCCCCATTTACGACAATGTTTTGTGGGGAATATATAAATCAACAACAAGTTATATCAATATTATAGTTTCCACAATACCAAGTTCATTCTCCTACATTGGAGAGATTGTACAACAAATTTTTAAAATATTGTGCATATAAATTAAACATACTCATTATTAATGATTATAGAGATATTTTAAAAACACTCATTTAAAAAAACATGAATTTATTAAAAACCTGACGAGATAAGTCTGATTTAGTATTTGTGTTTAAATTAATAATTGGTTTAATTTGTTGCCCTGAACTTCTCCAATCTATTAGCTTATATGTTCCCTCCCAAAGACTCAGATATATTGATCTGTTTTATATACCTTTTCACTGTACAAATTATGGCATGCACTCACCCATTGAGCAAACACTGAAAATTATAAATAGGAACAATTTAGAAATATATGGTGTCTCCTTGGCTTCATGTAAAAGTCAGATAAAAAAAGCTTGACGAGTTATAGGTACTTTTTTGTTTATTTATAATTAATACTTTAATTTCACTTAGTTTGTAAGCAATTACAGAGATTGATTTTTATACTGTAAGTTAACACATACAAAGCTAATAGACAAAATCAGTCAAATTTATAAAATCAATAATAATGAGTATTCTATAAACTATTTGATACTTTTAGTTTTTATTATTAATCAATTTATTAAATACCTTTTGTTTTAATATCTAAAATTTAAAAAAAGCTTAAATACAGTTGATTGTTTCACTTTTATAACATTTAATTTCGTCATGATTGGTAACTATAATAAAAATATAAAAATTTTTATCTTTAATGTTACTTTTTTTATTGAATGTCAATGTAATTTTCTGAAATATCACTTTAATTACTTATTATCACAAAATGATTCAAATGACTTGGTAACAGACCTAAATCAGTCTATAGAGAATGTCAAATTACAGGAATCTTTTCTCAACAAGTGGAACTAATTGACACATATTTTTCTGTGGAAGAAATTTATACTTCTGCACATTAGAAAGAAGAGCTTAAAGTAACACATTGTTCAAATGCATGGAAGTTGTTTATAGGCAGTTATCTAATAAGCTTCCAAGGTTTTTTTTTGTGATAATCAAATTTTCTTGATAAGCTTCCACCAATTTCTACTTGATAATTGACACAAACAAAAGAAAACTATGAGAATGTAAAAAAGTATTACTTATTAATGATAATTAATAAGCATGGTAATTATGTGGTAACTTTAGAATGTTAACTATTTTCAGGACTACAGGGAGGTTATTTAAAACATTAATGTATCTTGTATTTTTGAGACAGAAAATCTGATATTGATATTAAAAATATTATGTTTTGTCTCCACCTATACACATTAAATTGGATCCTCCCAAAAAGTTTCTACAATCTGGAGCTTTCCAGAATTACTTAGGAATACTAACCTTTTAAGGTTAGTATTCCTAAGTAACCTTTTAAGGTTAGTATTCCTAGGATAACATTTTAAAAAATAGTTTGACATAAGTCCTTAAAATTGTAGATTACTTTTTAAAGAAAATTTTAGGGTTATGAGTGGGGAACATCAGCAAAGGTTTCACAAGGGTGTTAAAATTATTATGTACTTAAAATATGCAACACTATTTATATGAGATGTGGGATGATTTTCACATTTGGTCCGATTGAAGATAGCTTCAAATGGGTTTGACAGAATAAAATATTGGTGTTTGGCAGTATTGAAATTTACATTACAAATGAAACATATGCAATTAAAAGAAATAAGATATTTAAAAAATAATATTTTAAGATTACGAAAAAAGAAAAAGTAAATAGTTTTAAAATAGTTTTTAACAGTAAATAGTAAAATGTCAGTATAAATAATAAAATTTAAAAGGCATCTGTTGCAATCTGGCAGCTGGTAGTTTGAGGGTTCTGACTCTACTGCCAAAGCTATCCGTTAACCTATCAAAGGGCAATTGCCAAAAAAATTTTCTAATAATGAATTACAACTAATATCAAACGAAACAAATATTACTTCATTAATATTTTATATAAGGTATAAAATTGCAGAATCCATAAAATAATATGATAAAAATGTACCTTTTAAAAGCTTTATCTCTTTGTATTTGAAGCATATAACATATGCATTATAAGAACATGGCAACACAATATTTCCTTCTGTGAAACTTAATTGACAGCTCATTTGAGGCTATCTTCACTGGGACCAAATGTGAAAATCGCAGAGATGTGCATTTTTTTGTGCAAAATTTTCATTAATTTTAACTATTTCCAAAATCATTTTAATACTTGTGATATACTAGATCACGCAAATGATATAAATTTTAACCATAATTAAATAATTACAGTAACTAATGCAAATGATCCATAAAAATATGACAAGGGGAATTAGTCTTTTTTGTTCTTTCTTATTCTCCTCTGGAGCCAATTTACCAGCTCCATACTTTGGAATTTTAGATGATAGACACTCCTGGAGATTCCAACTATTCTTCATATCATATATACTATATAGATATTGATATCAAATAGGAACTGCTTTTTCACTAAACATTAAAACATTGCAAACAAAGTAGCCTCTTCTTGCTCCCATATTACTAAAGAGTTACACACCAAAATATGCTGCATGCATATATTCCAATAGGAATCCTATTGGAATATATGAAAGAAGCATATAATAGAATAAGAATAATCTAAGAATAGTTTAATCAGTTAGTTAAGAAGTGTCTCAAACTGATAATATAAGTACAAAGTCAATAAGGTTAAGTATTACTTCTTTCTTAAATGTCAAGAAAGTACAAGAATTACCAAAAAATCCAAAAAGATATTGTGATAACCAATAAGGGCAGTTATAAAAAAGTAGACACAAAAGAATTATTCTTTTTTATATTATTAATATAATAATATTATATGGAGCTGAGACTTGGACATTAAAGAATGTAATTTAAAAAGAATCGAGGCCTTTGAACTCTGGTTATACCGCAGAGTATTGAAAATATCATGGACTGATAGAATTACAAATAAAGAAGTACTGGAGGGGTTTGGTAAAGAAACAGAACTAATCACCACTATACAAACCAGAAAACTGCAATACCTAGGCCACGTGATGAGAGGACCAAAATATGAAATTTTGAGACTGATAATACAGGGAAAGATTCAAGGAAGATCTGTTGGCAGAGAGCAGAACTCATGGTTAAAGAATTTATGTGATTGGTACCAATGCAGATCGATTGATTTGCATCGGTTTAGAGCAGCAAGTTCTAAAATAAAAATAGCCATTATGATTGCCAACCTCCCTAGGGAGATGGCACTCTAAGAAGTAGACACAAAAGAAATAAAGGCTAAAATAAATAGAGGTTTAAACCTATAATCAAAAATGCAATTCTAGTTTATAAAGAAATATTCTGACATTGTTGTTCTTCAACTTACCTCCAGTACCATCTCCTTTAGTGAAGTCACCACCTTGAATCATGAAATCTCTAATAACTCTATGGAATTTACTGCCTTTGTATCCTTCACCGGCTGGTTTAAGTGCTAGTTCTTTAAAATTTTTTGCTGTCTTTGGCACTGTCTTTCCAAACAATCCGATTTCAATGCGGCCTATTGCCTCGTCACCGATTGTGATGTCAAACCAAACCTATTTCATTTTTTGAGTAAAAGTGTGTAGGCATAAATTAAAAATAGAATTTTTTAAAAACTTACCTTATCGGTTACTTTTGGACCTTTTTTCGACGAATCATCACTTTTTACATAGGCTAAAACGGCTACAAAAGCCAAAGTAACTAATAAAACTTTCATCGTTGCTTTGTAGCCGATCTTATCCCTTATGAGCCGATGAAGTAACAGAAAGCTCATAAAATATTGGTGAACAGTCAACTGGAATTGAACCTCTTAAAATTTACACAACAGGACTGGAGATAAACTAATAAAAATTTGAAATACCCATTCGGATTTCTCTTTCTTGTGTAATTCGAAAAATGATTTGGAGAGTAGGATAGAACATCAACTAATGCTTGAGAACGTTAACCAATTATAAGCCGCCACGGTCAGCTGGTGCCGAGTGATATCCCTTTCTCTTTTTCTCCAATAACAAAGCGATAGGCACAATCTTAAGATGAAAAGCGGTTTAATTTAAATTCAAACTGTTAAATTATTTTTAACACCAGATTATTGACCTGAAATATATTTTATTTGTTGGAAGGTCAATGTCAAAAATATGCTGAGTTGTCATGTTAGCAACAAAGACCATTAAAAAATCTAGTAAACAAAAATCGCCAATGTCTTGTACATACGATATAAGGAGATAAGTTAAAACAGGGACGGACTTATGAAAAAATTGTATCAGAAAATTAACTAACGATAAATGAACAGTACAAAGTACTGTTATATATATATATATATATATATATATATATATATATATATATATATATATATATATATATAATATATATATATATATATATATAAATATATATATATATATATATATATATATATATATATATATATATATATATATATATATATATATATATATATATATATATATGTACTTATTAATGAGCAAGAACTCAAAAAATACTAATAATTGGACCCCTAGTTAGTTATATTTTTATTGTATAAATTGTTTGGAGACAATATCAAACTTGTTTTTTTTTTTACCAGAAACATTTCACTTCGTCACAGAATAAATAACAATTAGAATGCCCACTCTCAGATGCCGCCTTTGAAGTGTGGGAAGTGTGTCAGCACCATCGAGCAAAAAGACAAAAGAGAGAATCTAATCGCACGATATGTCGCCAAAATACACAATCTCGACAAAGATTGTTACTTTGGCCGGCCAATCACTGCGCTCGTTATTAACTTCGCTGTCATTGGCCTCTCGGCGGAAGAGCGCTGCGAGTTCTCAATTACTAAACGTATAAAAGAGCAGCGCACCTTCCGATAGGGACTTCACCCCCCCCCCCCCCCCAGATGGACAAAACTCTACAAAAAGCCCAGAGTGAGCAAATTATCGCACATCGCCTCGTTCACAGTGGGCCCAGCAGCTCAACTAGGATACAATCTGTATTGTGGTATCGTATAATATTTATATATTTTCCTTATTGTAATATAGATTATACACTAATTATGATTTTTTGTCCACAGGTCACCTACAAAAAAAATTACAAAAATACAAAAAACCGGCTTCGGCCACCAAAAAAACTAATGAGCACCAAGTCGCCGAACTGAGCCGGGACTTAGAGCGGAGACTTGAGGCCCAAGTAAGCAATTTTAATTCGCGGATAAGCCATATCAAGATAACAGGAATATAGCAGAGATGCGCTGTCCTGAGTTTTTGCATTCGGTTAGGAAACCATGTTGGGGTTCTATTACCCAGGACCTCCACATGAAGAGTACTTGGCTGATTGTTGTGCCTCTATTGGCGACGTGCAAGTACTTGGAGGGGATACGAGAAACGATCGTGCGTGAGTAGTGGAGAAATCTTGCATCTTTTACTGCACATTTCATAGATTATAGATTTCATAAATTCATATTGTCAATTGTCATATTTCATATTCGTTTTGTTTATTTACACCTTCTGTCACTGAAGAAAATGGGATTTAGGAAAAGCTGTGTTATAAATTGTAAAAATACAACAAACAATTGTCAATTTAAGTTTTATTCGTTTCCAACTTCGAAGCACAAAGCTACTACAAAGAGAAAAGTGGATTTATATCATAAAAAAGCATAAGTAACATAACCTAAATTATGCATTATTCTTGCGCCCGATTTTAAAGTCAGTTTGAAATAAATAATAAATAAAAGTTCACTTTTAAGTGTAAATTTTAGTTTCATAACACTCACTTAGAGTTCATTTTAACTCAAAAATCAAGTTTAATATTTGAATTTTATTTTTTTGAAGTTTACAAAAATGCAAGTTCAAGTTTTTCTGAAGATGCATTAAGATATATTCGCTGTCCAAAAGCTTACAAGGAAAGAATTAATTGTTCAAACCAATATGATGATATCATGGGCATAACCTGCTAATTTATGCATTAGCATTATTTATGGTAATTTATTTTTCTTAATTCTTCCACTCCACATAATTCTTCCATTCTTTATTGACATTTGCCACTACTAAAGCTTTTCCCTTTGACTCGTGCTTGGTTGAAAAGTTATTTGGTGATTTACTTTCTCAAATCCAGTTTTTATTATTGCATCCATATTAACAGTAATGCTGTAATTCAATAATATATTTATTTGTATTTACGCTACATCAACATTTACCTTTTAATAACATACCGACATAACCTCAATCTTACTTTTTCTTCTTATTCTTTTTTGGGGCCACGTCCTTGACAGTTATCCGGTAACCTCGATCTAACATGAAAGCGCAGTAAATTTGGCTGATTTACGACACCAGGTGTCGCTGTTCCGAACTTGCACGGTCCCAATAGCGAATTAGATTGCTATAGGGGGGAAAGGGATGGTCTAGAGCATTGGAGCACGGTGGGGTGACTCCTGTTTTTACTCGAGTTAACACACCTTGCTCCAATGAATTGTTACACCCGATCGTACTACCTGGGTAAACATGTCTCATAGGCTGGGTTTAATCAAATTGCTTGCTTGCTTGCTTGATCGGGACTTGGGTCGTCAGACACTTCGAGCCCTACTAGACCTTGTTGGTTAGTGGTGCTTCCTAGTAAAACTGTTCATTATTAATCCAAATAACCAAAGTCGTCCTTACGTCGAATATCAACGATTACACCGACTTCGAAGATCAGCGATTATTTCCAACCCAGAAGTCGACGATATCCTAAGGCATCATTCGTCGTCTGCTATTATACCACAGTGCACGAAAAGCCGAGTATCAGCTGTAGAATCGCTCCCTGTCAGAAACATACGCTTTTTGAAATAGAAAAACAGTAGTTTTAGAACTATTACAAATTCGGTCGAACTGACACCGACGATTTATCGGACAACGACGGTAAAAACGAGGAGAAGTCTCGACGGAGACCTATATTCGATTTTACCGCTCCGAGTCAAGCCACAACAACGCTTCGACACTTTGAACCTTATGCATTTTCAGTAATTAGTAAACACTGGTAAAACTGATAGTGCGAAAGGTAGTGTACAAAGCGACGGGCTATTGCAGAGCCGATACAACGGGCATTTTTGTGCCTCTTTCTAGGAGACAGAACGCGGCGATTCCTGATAAGAAGGAAACTGACATCTCTGCAATTTTGAGGCATATACTACGCAACCGAACTCTAACACATATTGTCGTTGTAAGAAATATATTTATCATTGTAAGAAAGCTTGAACTGTTAGAGAGTTCTGTTTGCCGGTGTCACCTTGCTTGTTGCAGAGGCTCGATAGAGCTTATTACACGAATAAGCCGGTATCTGTACCAACTCCTATACGAAGATGGATCATCGCAATACGAGATCATCTTCAAGAGCGGCGGCCACTGAGCGTCCAGAAACTCCAGATAATGGAGAGGATGCTACGGCCGCGCGACAGATACTATAACAAAACAAGATAAGTCAACGCGCATGTTCTTGTGACCTAAGCCCGAGACATAGAATAATAAACAATCAGAATGCCCACTCTCCATGGAAAATTAAGTACGCACATCTCCTTCGCGCAGACGTTCCGCCATGTTTTAGAGGAAACCAGTGTTGTATGCTCACTTGCTATTCTAATTTTAATTGACTTTGCGCATGTCATCATAGCGAGACAAAACAGGGGACTTGTATGTATCATATTTTAACGATGCATCATATGGCAACGTTGTTCCATTACTGTAATGAACAACTTCAAAACTTTAAACTGTTAACGGTAAGTATACCTCGATGTCATATCTTGCACTAAGAAGTCATAACTAGTTACTTTTCATAACTAGTCATACAACTAGTCTAAGAAGTCATAACTAAGAATTTGACCATAAAGGAAAAGCGGGCGAAACTTGAGACTTTATGAATATCATTTAGACATTTATTTTACAATCTTTGTGATTTTTCTTTTGCGGTATTGTAATTATCTTTAATATTTTGATTTAGAATTCGTATTTTAAAATACATTTTACATCTAAAAAAAGTAATTTTACATCTTCGCTAACACTTACATATTTTGAAGCTTCTATTAAGTTTTTTAAATAATTTTTTGTTATTTTTAATGTGTCGCCATTATAACTACGAAAGATATGTTCCAGTTCATCACATACTACATACATCCAAAGTAACTTTTTTTAAAGACCTATCAAAAATAAAGTATTACTTCAAGTTCTATTAAAATGGGCACTATTATTAAAATTCTATTAAAATGGGACCGTTCAAGTTCGGAACAGCGACACCTGGTGTCGTAAATCAGCAAAATTTACTGCGCTTTCATGTTAGATCGAGGTTACCGGATAACTGTCAAGGACGTAGCCCCAAAAAAGAATAAGAAGAAAAAGTAAGATTTAGGTTATGTCGGTATGTTTTTAAAAGGTAAACGTTGTATGTAGTCTAAATACAAATAAATATATTATTAAATTACAGCATTACTGTTAATATGGATGCAATAATAAAAACTGGATTTGAGAAAGTAAATCACCAAATAACTTTTCAACCAAGCACTCAGTCAAATGGAAAAGCTTTAGTAGTGCCAAATGTCAAAAATGAATGGAAGAATTATGTGGAAGAATTAAGAAAAATAAATTACCATAAATAATGCTAATGCATAAATTAGCAGGTTAAGTCCATGATATCATCATATTGGTTTGTACAATTAATTCTTTCCCTGTAAACTTTTGGACAGCGAATATATCTTAATGGATCTTCAGAAAAACTTGAACTTGATTCATTTTTGTAAACTTCAAAAAGATAAAATTTAAACATTAAACTTGATTTTTGGG